CTGAAAGTGTTACACACCAGAGAGGGAGAGCTGGGTTGACTTTCATTCCTATTGTGTAGAGGTAGGTGAAGAGATCAAGAGACAAGGGAGAACACTAACCCATATATTCATTTAGTATTGCCCAGTAATTTTAAAATCACATTGCCATTCCTGGTTCTGCTGGTCTCATGCGCTGTCTTCCTCTCACCTAATTCCTCTACTTCTGCATGTTTTAAGGGAAATTACTGTAACTTCTCTGATGCCAACTTCGTGATCTCTCACTAGGAGTACCATTGGCTACCTGGGCATCTGCAGAATTCATTTTTCTCAACGTTGATTGCTCTTCCTTCCATTGCAGATGTCTCTATGTGCTTTATCCGAGTCCCCTGAAAGAGTAAATTATTTTAGATATGCTTTGCTGTCATTTCCAAAGTAGTTTAGGCTATGTAAAATGATGAATGTTCCACAAAACCAGTCATCGACCATTTAAGTGAGAATTTGGAGATTTTTCTCTTCTTAGCAGCAAATCTGCACAGTCTGCTGCTGATTTAAAATATGTGCTGCGGGAGACCCTAACACTGGGACTTGGCCAAGTTCAAAGCAGCTGTGCAGATGGACACAGAAGACAGAAGGCAGAGGGAAATAGACCCTTTTAATCACAACAAGGCTGCTCTTGTTTTCCTATCTATAGTAGAAATGCATGCCAGCCCCTTGTACTTAAAAGCAAGCTTGCAAATGTGCCAGAATAGACAGCAACAGCATTTGTTATTAATGCAAAGCTAAAAATGTGACAACCTGTCTTCTCAGTACTGGTCTTTACATCTCCATTTCTAGACTGACGCTGTGCTACTGCAAAAAGTGCACATCCAGTTGCTGTCAGTGGGATAAGAATTTCCTCCCCCAGAACTCAGGCTCTTTGAAAGTTCGTGGCTTTGTTAATGATCGCTGAAACCAGCCACAACCTGTCCCTTTGAAATGGTTATAATGACTTATAAATCAATTTCTCGTTAGAATGAACTTACTTTTTTTTTTTTTTCCTTTCTCCCGAAGGTGCCATTGTTGCCCATGAAAAATGATTGGGTTTGCAACATAAGGTTGGAGCACATTTTATTCTGCCATTTGTGCCTCATGCAGGGGCACTATGGTGATGCACACACCAAGCTTGGTTCTGCCTCTCTTCAGTAGGAACACCCTTTTTTATCAAGCTACCAATATCCAAATTACAGATAAAATAGGTATTTCACTACTGTGCATGTTAATATAGTGTCACTCGTTATACTTTGGCTGGACTGTTGGTGAAACTGGGTGGGTTTTATACGTTTCAGATGTTGTCTTGTTTGCTTAGATCAAGGCTAGATTGCATCAAACTGTATCTCATCCTATCTTAACCTGTTTTATGGAAGTTGTATATTAAGAAAGGCATGTTTGCTCACTGCAAAGTGGAAGCAGTTCCATAGGGAATAGTGTCAGTTCCCTTTCAGCTCTTGCTGTAGTAATTTTCATATTTCTGCATTTTAGGAAACCTTAACAAGTTTGTGCTTAGGGGCTTGGGGGGCTCCCACCTTCCCATTGCAGGGAATATGTGAAACCTGCTCTTAGAAATCATCGTATTTAGCCAATTCCACCTCTGCTTAAAACCATTCCATGCTGGAGTCCAGACTGTGCATGTTCCTGAAAAATGAGGTGGATGGGGTTTTAGTCTGTATACAGGTACCTATATGTATATATCTTGCAAAATAATTTTTTCAGGATCTGTGTGATAGGTGTTCTCATTTGAGATTCTTCCTTCTCCCAGGAAGGCTGTGTATTGGGGAATTCAGAAAGATGCTCAGCACTCATCTTGCCTTGATTTTTGTACTTACACTTCTGTCTTGTCTGCTTGTCCTCTGGCTCTGGGAATTTGAGTTGCCGTGTGAGAAACGCTACTGCAGTGTTTGTGAGACTTTGCATAGTTGTTCCTCTAGGCATGTGTGTGTGTTTGTATATGTCTTGTCTGTAAGTTTATGCATAGAAATATATATATACACACACATGCACACGCATACAAAAATAAAAAGTCATAACTCATCCCTCAATATCTTTTAACCATTTCTTAAAATCTGATGTAATATTGGTTGGAGTCTCTCTACATTTTGTTGTGCTGGCTACTTGGATATCAGATTCTACTGTAGTTCTTTCTCTTATCTTCTCTCCCTCTGAATTTTTTTTTTTAAAAGAAAAGCAACTGCATATTTTGAAGACATGCACCATTGCCAAGCAATCTGGTGTAGTGGCTTAATATGCTGGCAAATAATTTCACAAGTTGTTTGTGTGTGTGAAGGCCGTATATTTGAATATCATTATATTCTGAGTGTAGCTATGAAGAGAGTTATCTGAGCTTATGTAAATTTTAGGAAAGGCCAGACAGCTCCAGAAATGAAAGAATATTTTACATTTTTTAATTGGAGTGCATATTTTCATCCTTGGCTAATGCTGATGGGATGGGACGTCGCATTTTCCTGAAGCCTTTCTGTCCTGTCTTCTGAGCACTGCCAGTACTTGGTGGCCTGATAACAATTTTCGGGAGCGTTAGACTCCTGAGAACTGAGGTAGATGTTACTTGCAATGTGTTGGTGACCATCTGTGCACTAACTTTCTGTCACTGCCTGTAAGCTCCTCTTCCCTTTTCCCCTTCTGGTGTGTTTATCCACTCTATGGGTCACTTAGTGACTCCCTTTGAGCTCACTGTCTTCCTTTCCACCTCTGAACTCCGTATTCTGTACTTAGTTTTCCTTAAGCACTTTGATTTTTATTAATGTCCCTGGCCAGATTTTCTCAACTGATCTCTTCTGAGTTTCCCCAGCTTGGTCCCATGTGTCAGTGCATACAGTGCTGTCCTTTTCTGTGACCTTACCAAGGATGTCTTCTCAGAGCCCTTTGCACCTTCCTCTGCTGTTGGAGTACAGATCAGAAATGGACTTTCAAAAGAGCAAGTCATTGCCTGCAGAGCAGTGGGTCTGTTCTTTACAGTGAGATCTCAAAGTCTCACTAGCTATATCCTTCAGCTTATGGAGGTGTCTCTGGAGCTTGTATAGTTTGGAAGAGGAGGGAGGTTTTCTTTTGTGAATTTTCTCCTTCACGTGATCTGCTTTTCTCAACTAATTGCAAAAAAAACTAAATTCTGTTTCCCAGGGGCTCCATCCACTTGAGTCTGCCTGTCTTACCTTTCCCTGGTTTGCTCCCATCTCACCTGGACACTTCCTAGTATTCTGTGTATGAGTACAGTCATTCTCTCTCCTCCCAATCCCTTTCATACCAGTCACTTAACCTGCATTACCTTTGCTCTCAGCATCTCCTTGCTGCCTCTCAGAGTCTTTGATTAAAACTTGTTACAGCCACAGCTTGTTGCGGGGGCAGGAGGAGGCAGACATTCACTCTCTGCAGTTTATGAGAGTTCTCCCTGGAGCCCGATGTTTTTGCTACCTTTCTGTCTCTAATACTTTTAATAAAGTTCACTAATATCTTCTGCTGCAGCAAATTTTTCACCTTTTTTGTTCTGCTCTGGCTGTTAACCTGAAAGCTGTTCTCTTGGAGTGATTATCTCTTTTTTTTTTTTTTTCCTTTCTTAGTAAATGTGTTTTTCCCCTCAGTTTCATCCTCATGCTTCTGGAGACCTTCAGCATTTAGCATCTGGTGGAGCCTGCGTCTTTTTATGTCCTGCTCTGCTCTTTCAGATTACTTCTCTCCCTTCAACTACACATTGTATGCTAAGCTGCTGACTTTTCTAGGTACCTCCAGGAGATTGAGTGTTCAGCCCCCATCTCTTTTTCACTTGATCGGGCTTGTCTGTCTACATTTAACATTTATGTCAATTCTGCTCAGCAGTAATAAGTGCCTGCACCTTTTTGGCATTAGAGAATGGATAGACAAGAGGCAGGAAATTAACCAGTTTCTGTTGGAATATTGAATCCGAGATAAACCCTTTTGTGAAAAAGAAAAAGTTTGAGAGTCCACAATCAACAAGCTTAATGAGTTCTCTTCCATTTTCTTTAAAATGTAAATACCATAGCATTGTATCAAGCTTTTTGTATTACCGGTTGGTTCTGCCTTATTAGGAAGTGGGTCCCTAAACTGGAGCTGATTTTAAGCAAATACCAGCTCACTCTTGCTTCACTGCTTCCGTTTCATCTGAGTCTCTCATACTTCAGCAAGCCTCTTAATCATCTCCAAAAATGCTGTCTTTAAATGAAATTAAGATGTGTAAGGTAAACTCTCAAAGATGTTAAGATCCCACATTAATACCATCCTTTTTTGTTGTTTTAAGAAAGCCACCTCTGCCTCCCCTCCTTTCAGGTAGCTGTCGTTTCCCATTAACGTGACCCTGACAGTTCCCTGGCTGGCTTGTGACTTCAGTACTTCATCTTGTCTCTGACTTGGTAGGAAATGTCAGTGTAGGGGATTGTATTTCACAAGCTGAGGGGTTTTCAGTGAACTCGGGAGATCTGGGGATTTTTCAGAGGCAGATGGGGCAGCTGTCCCTGCTCTTCCTCCTGCGGCTGGGTGGGATGTTGGAGACACATCCTTGGTTCCCTTAACTCAGGGGAAGAGCTTCAAGATAAGCCTCTTACCTGCCAGGTGTGCACTCTGGTGCTTTGATTTCCTGACGTTTAGCTCTTGATCCAACATGGAACAACTTGAGCAGTTTAGAGACAGGCAGCAGAACGGATAGGCTGCCGGCAGGCTCACCTGGCTCTCAGGAGAGCAAAGATTGGATCCTACACCTGCACCAGACAGAGCAGGACTTCAGCCTCATTGTTTTTTTTTCTCTGATCTTAAACACAAGTATGTGTCCTGGCTGTTTGAAAGATGAGACATAGCCTGTTTTCCTCTGTGCCTGCATCTCACCTGTGCTAAAACTGGTACACACATCTTTGGATGGAAACTTTGGAGGGAAGAAATGATGTTATTTCTTTTAAAAACATTGCTGGTTGCTGATGAATGCTCTGTTTCCCCCATTGTTTTGTTTTTGTTTGTTCAGATTGTCAGCTGCTGGATGCTGAGTGGTGTCAACATAGGGGCAGTTTGCCCTCAAATTAGCACAATCCAGCCCCTATCCTGCTAGTGTGCAAACGGTATGTTAATGAGCATAAATAATCATGTAGCTGTGGTTTCTTGCTAATTAGGTTCATCTTGCCGAAGATATCACACAATCATTATCATTATGTTACATAAGAACAAAATCTGTTTCAGTACTTGCATGCCCTGGTTTACCCCATGGCTGGTGGTGCCTTGCTGTAAGTAGAAGACAGCATCCCTTGTTTTCTCCTCTCCTAGTGCCTGTGCTCCTTCCTGGTCCCTCACACAGAGAAAATTCACAGAAATGAATGCAAGTTTTCCTGAATTAGGAGTGACAGCATATTTGCCATTTATAGCCTAGGAGTAGCACAGTGTTGGAGATGGAGTAGTAAAACAGTAAATAGGATAGGGGTAACATTGCTTTCACATTCTTGTCAACGTGTGGTTTTTTTTCTTGCTTGGTGTTACTGAGTCTTAGAGTGCCACTTCTCAGCCTGCACATTTCTTTCTCCAAGGCTTAGAAACCTTGTTCTGTCTCGAAGCAGTATTGTTCATCACCATATGGGATAAGGTAATTATTAGCCATATAAATTTTCATTTTATAGGACAGTTTTAATTCCTGGAGGCCAGCAATTACTATGGTAGTTCTCATTTCTCGCCACACTTTTTCAGCTGACTACACATAAGTATGTTAATGTTGCTTCTCCTGTGGTGGCACTTTCTGTACGCAGTTTAGTGGAAGTCCCAGTGTACTGGGTGCTATGCAAGCTTACTGGAAGATAAAGCCCTCTGAAAGATTTACAAGCCTTACAGTGTGTAGGCAAGGAGAAGGCATTTATTTTTGTGCATTCAAAAACTGTTTCATTTATACCTACTTGTTCTTTAGCATGTTCTTAATTAGCTGTGGGTATCATAGAAGAAATGTATAGACATGGAGATCAAAATATTTTCTAAAACAGGAGCTAGAAAGGTTTGATTGCAGATTTGCCTTTATTGTTTTGATTCCTTTTCTTGCCACGTCAACACTTTTGCAGTTATCAGTAGCATCATTGTATTGCTCATAATTACTTTCCAAGGAAGAATGCAAATATTCACTGTTTCTATTCAGGCTATTCAAATTGCTCTATCAATCATCCTGATTTCAAAATTATAATAAATTCAGCCCTTTTTTAAGGCAATGATAAAAACTTTCCCATCCTCCCTCTCCCAGAAAGCAGAAGGAGAAGATACGACTTTAATGAAGTCATGTTCTTGCTCCCCGAGTGAACTGGTCCTCTGGACCAATGAGAAGTTCTGGGCAGCTGTAATTTCCCTGTTGTCCTGATGAGTTACCAGCCTTTTAGGTATTACATCTTTTATATTTTACCTAAGGGGTCTTTATATTGTGACAGCATCCAGGCTTCTCCTGAGGCTATCTGTAACCACACAATGGAGGCAGCAGCAAGGCTTTTTTCCCCTTCAACTCTTTTAATTCTTTCACTTTGAGGGCAAAGCTTTACACAATTGTGTCTTCAGCTGCTGTTTAACACCTCTTATGTTTGGACCCGTTAAACAGGTTGAAAGAGAAGATCTAGAGGAATTTATATCCAGGTCTCTGGAGCCAGCAAAGCGGTGTGTTTGTAAAAGCCACTCCATCTAGTGGCAGTCACTTTGCAGAGCTGGTCTGGCAGTGCCCACCAACAACTCCTGACTGATGGTAGAAAAGCCTACAGTGGTGTTCTGCTGTGGGTTTTCTGGTTTTAGGTCTTAAAGAAAAAAAAGATGCTTGAATTTTTTATCTATTCTTTATCCTTATGCATAATCATAATTCATTACTTACTGTGAATTGCTGCGTGTAGTCATGGAAATCCACCGAGAATTTTGAGTGCTGGCGTCAGGATGGGCTCTTCCTCATCTCTAATCAATGTTTGTGTTCTTTTTAAAGTGGTATTAAAATGAGCGAGGTAGTAGAGCTCATTTAAGGAAGGGATGAAGCTGAGAGCTTTGGCGACTCAAAGACTCTGTTGGAAGAGCAGCTTTTGGCAGGGAGGGTCTCTCTGGCTACCACGTTGCCTGCAAGGGGGCTTTGCTGCAGCACACAGCCAGAGAGGATTGATCTGTGCAAGGTGCCCTTGGCCACTACAGAGGCTGTAAGAAGGCTCCCAGAGCATTTCATGCAGAGATGTTAACTGGCTCTTGAACAATATGGGTTTGTTTTCTGTTGAAGCCCATGGCAAAGGGCAAAGACATGAAGTGTGTCCTCTTCTCATGGCCGGTGCCTCCTCAACACACCTGGTTCAGACAGAAGAGCTTAAAGGCAAAATCTGTGTGATGCTGGCATGTCCACCTAACCAAACAAAAAGACCAGGAACCAGACCACTGCTCCTGCTGTCAGCTTTTCAGTCTGTGTCAAATTCTGCAACACCTCACACTGCCACCCGGACTCTCCTGATAACCTTAGTGCCAAAGGTCTGGTCTTGTTTTCACTGTGCAGCCATGGGAAACCTCACTGATCACTTCAGCACCTTTCAGTATCCTAGCTTATAGTAAGGCAAACTAGTATCTACATTAAAATAAAATTCCTGTAAAGTGCAATTCCAGATCAGGCAAATGGCTGTTTTACTGCAACTTTAATAAAAATCAACTGCTCCTTGAATAGGTGCATGCACACATACTGCTAGAAATTTCCAATTATGATATTCCTAGCAGCAAACAAAAACAAAATTAATGTCAGCTGTATTCCCCAAAGCTGAAACTACATTGCTAATGAACTCCCAAGTACTCTCAGATAAAACTCTTTTTGGAGAGACAATAAGGTGGAAATTAGTGTCATAGTCTCAATGTAAAAATAAAGAGGGGGAAAAAAAAAATATCATTGAAATTCAGAGTAAGACTTGCCTGTCCTGATCCCATTAACTGTGTTGTTAGCATAGCATATGCATGCATAGTCATATTGTCACATAAGTCACTGCTGCCTTCAAAAGAGCACACAGGAATTTGTTTTCTTTCATTTGTATTTCAAACAAAGGTAGGGGTTGCACAGTGCTTTGCACCTTATTTTGAGGAAGTCTCTACTTAACATGACTCAAACAGGGACCAGCTACTTCATAACAATTTGTTAGTCTGTCTGGCAGAAGTGCTCAGTTGCATACAATTTTTTGAAGCTTTGCTCAAACGTAATCTTCTCAACATGGAGCTGTGGCTTTAATTGTTAAAATGGTTATCTTTTTGTGTCAGAAATAAGCTGGAATAACAGCCATCTTTACATGTTTATAGAACCACTTGATTTATTTAATTTTTTGGGGGGTAGTTTTCAAATGAGTAAGACACTCTTCCCTTCTGGTTTTAAGCAGGTGTTATAATGCCAAGTTTAAAGTTGCCAGGCTTCACCCAAAGCAGGTTTGTCAGTTGTCAGCAGGGTCATCATAACAACATGTAACATACGCAAATTCTATTAGGAACATCTGTAAAGCACCTTCTGGATTAAATGTACATTATGTATTAGATTACTCCTGTTACTCCTGTTTAATGTGTGCTTCAGTGACATTTCTCTCCCTCCCTTCTCAGACCCTCAAAAGGGTCTGTGTTGTGTGTTAGACTATCCCAGTAAAGGTTGTTTATAGTCATCCTTGTTTGTAGCACTGCAGTTGCAGTGTCTTCTGGAGATCTAGGTTCCTGTATTTCCTTTAACACTTGGTGTCTAGGCCTGGTGAATCAAATAGAAAACTTTAATGAACTCTGGACAAAGTGTGGAATGTTCAGGTGCCATGTATAAGTGCAGTATAAATGTCTCATTGGCCAAATTATCTCTGATTCTTTTGGAAATGCTTGTGATTTCTTCTAAGTATTGGTATTGTAGAGATGAATAATTTTCTTCTTTCTTTTAATTTTAATAGGAAAACTGAGCTGTAGTACCTACTGTGCAAGTCTCCTCTTAAGAAGTTGAGATGATCAGTACTCTTGGTTTTGGCAGAAAATCTCTCGTGGCTGTTCTGGCTGTTTATTGTCAGTTGTGGAAAGTGAACAGGTTAAGTCAGTACAAGCCTGTATGTGGCATCTGGGATTTGCTGGGTGTCACAAACAATTTCCTCCATGAAAAAGTTTGCTTTTGCTCCTGTTGCTACTGTAATAATCAAGTTGTCCCATTCCACATGCAGAATAGCTGTAGCACACTGAAGCAATGATTCTGGTTCTAGCTTACATTCAGGCCACTCTCAGCCACCCTAGTGGTGGAAGGGGGCCCTAAAGCAGGTGTGCAGTGCATATTCAAGGCATGTTATATGGGCAAAGTTACATAAAGGAGCATAGCATAAGAGCTTTAAGATCTGTCTTACTTATTGATGCATGTAGGATGCTCAGATGCTAATTGAGGTGCCCTGACCAGGAATTACACTCTGCAGTTAAACACCATCCACAAGCAAAGGGAGGGCATGGTGAGACTCAGAGACCACTGGCTAGCTGGGAACTTTCTGCTGGGCTTCTTCTTTCTGAGGGGCAGAATGTTTTAGGTGTATCCCTAATGGGATGAGTTACATTTATGTGCTTCTCACAGGAGCAGTGGCTCCTGCTCCATTTTCCTTGGAGTTTTGGCCGGGGCTGCACTCTGACCCAAACTTCTTGCTGTGCTTTTCTTGGCAAATATGAGCCACTCTCATTGAGGCTTCTGATCCACAAAAAATGGATTGCTGATGCACTCAATGACTTAGCAGTGCTGGTCACCTTTCCTGAACCTGTGGACAGAGCTGGTTAACATAGAGTCCAAACATGCCAGTTACCCAGGTATGCTTAGCAGAAGGAAGAAACAGAGTAATGAGGCCATGTCTAGATTCCTACATTTGTAGAGGAAATACCTTGTTAAAAGTTTTGCAATAACAGATCCAGGAAGTTAGCAGATCTCAAAGTGCTGTAACAGGGTAGTGTGAATATACAGGCATAGTGGGTGAACAGTGAAGCTTACAGTGCATGGCTCTCTTACCATTCCCTCTCTGTTGTCAGGTTTTCAAACCCCTTGGTGCATTTTGAAAGAAAAGCAATGAAGGTGATGACTCAGTTTATTGCTTCTCCTGCTGTGACATTTGGTATTATCTTAATGAAGCAAGCCCAAGGAATATTGGTCTTCAAGGTACTTTGCCATCAGAAGCCAAGTCCAGATCTAGAGAAAGGTATTTTTCTGGTATTGCAGCTCAGGTTTTGATGAGAAATGAAAACTGCTTTCATGTGGAATACTTAATTCCCTATGCCTCCAGTTTTCATGTCATTTTCTAATGTAAATCAGTTTTAGTGAAATCCAGGTGATTTCTTTCCAAGTGCTCAACTCACCCTGATTCCCGTATGTGGCAAAGGCTAAATGTGCTTTAAACATAAGAGAAAGGTCGATTTTGTTGGACGCAGTTCAACGAAGTTGTTTGTGAAGTTTGTCTGCCTCTTTATATTAATGAAGTCTGATCTTTTCTCCTTCCAGGAGTTCCTCCGATGCATTTTTTCCTCCCCCAAGTGTCTCTAAAACCAACAAGACTGGGGTTATGAAGTCAGTCCTAGATGGCCTCGCAGATACAACTTTCCGAACAATCACAACCGATCTCCTTTACGTGGGCTCCAACGATATCCAGTACGAAGACATGAAAGGTGACATGGCATCCAAGCTGGGATACTACCCCCAGAAGTTTCCCCTCTCTTCCTTCAGGGGTGATCCTTTCCAAGAAAAAATGACTGCGGGAGATGATCCCCTGTTGAGCATTATTCCCTCAGATCAGGTGAACATCACAGAGTTTTACAACAAGTCCCTGTCCACATTTAAGGATAATGACGAGAACATACAGTGTGGGGAGAACTTCATGGATATGGAGTGCTTTATGATACTGAACCCCAGCCAGCAGCTGGCCATTGCTGTGCTCTCACTCACCCTGGGCACCTTCACGGTCTTGGAGAACCTCCTCGTCCTGTGCGTCATCCTCCACTCCCGAAGCCTCCGGTGTAGACCCTCCTACCATTTCATCGGCAGCCTGGCTGTGGCTGACCTTCTGGGCAGCGTCATTTTTGTCTACAGTTTTGTGGATTTTCATGTTTTCCACCGGAAGGACAGCCCCAACGTCTTCTTGTTCAAACTGGGTGGAGTTACAGCCTCCTTCACCGCCTCCGTAGGTAGCCTTTTCCTCACAGCAATAGACCGGTACATCTCTATACACAGGCCTCTCGCTTACAAAAGGATTGTTACCCGACCAAAGGCTGTCGTAGCGTTTTGTGTGATGTGGACCATTGCTATTGTAATAGCTGTTCTGCCTCTGCTTGGCTGGAACTGCAAAAAGCTCAACTCCGTTTGTTCGGACATATTCCCTCTCATCGACGAGACGTACCTGATGTTCTGGATCGGGGTCACCAGCGTCCTTTTGCTCTTCATTGTCTATGCCTACATGTACATACTGTGGAAGGCTCACAGCCACGCTGTTCGCATGATTCAGCGGGGCACACAGAAAAGCATCATCATTCAGTCCACGGAGGATGGTAAGGTACAGATCACAAGGCCTGACCAGACTCGTATGGACATCAGGTTAGCCAAAACCTTGGTCCTTATCCTAGTCGTTTTAATCATATGCTGGGGCCCTCTCCTTGCCATCATGGTGTACGATGTCTTTGGGAAAATGAACAAGCTCATCAAGACTGTCTTTGCCTTCTGTAGCATGCTCTGTTTGCTGAATTCAACAGTGAATCCCATCATCTATGCTCTAAGGAGCAAGGACCTGCGACACGCCTTCCGCAGCATGTTCCCCACCTGCGAGGGGACGGCGCAGCCCCTGGACAACAGCATGGAGTCTGACTGCCAGCACAAACACGCCAACAACGCGGGCAACGTGCACAGGGCTGCCGAGAGCTGCATTAAGAGCACAGTTAAGATTGCCAAAGTTACCATGTCTGTCTCCACAGACACGACTGCCGAAGCGTTGTAAGTCAGAGACTTCTCGGTGTTTGTGGGAAAAGAGTTAGTTTTAAAAAAAAATAATTCAAAAAATATCAACAACAGAGAAAACCAAACCCATGGCTTAATGTGTTTGTGCCCTCCTGTAATATTTTTGTTTGTCATTGTAAGCTGATGATTGTGTTAAAAGAATTAACGTCGACCAGTTCTTCAGGTTTTACAATAAGGGATTCAAGATAAATTTTCAAGTGTTCTTTTTTTTTTTTCTCAAAAAGTGTTTACTGAATAATAGCAAGTTTCCTGAAAGAGCACAGAGAAAACACCAGGTTAGCAATGGTTTATTTTTGGGGGTGTGAAGAAAAATTGTGAAACCTAATTGAAAACTAATGCATCCTAAACCAATACCATCCAATAAGACAAAAAGCCTTGTGATCATGCTGTTCATTTCAATGTGAAGTATATTCCATGTCTGTAAGTAATAGGAGTTTTTGATTTTTCCCAAAAGCGGCAGTGCTGAGTTCTAGAAGTTTTGTAAAACGTGTCGTGTCCCGTGAGTTGTGTGCTGTTTTATTATGTGTTCTTGATATTTGTCTGATGAAACAAAGTGATAAGGTAGACTTCCGTGGAAATAATGTGAAATGTGATATGTAAACCCCATTGAAAACACAGTGTATTTGAAGAATTCCTATGAGCTATTTTGGAAGTTTTACACTTTTGGTGGTCTTTTGTGGACTTAGAGGAGAGGCTTTGTGTTTTTCTAGTAAAATTATTCCCCACTACCTTTTACTTTCACATGCATACGAGAGTTAACAGCAGCAGAGGAATAGAGGAGGAGTGTAAGAGGAATGCACTGGTTCAGACTTTTAAATACCACTGCGTTTATATGGAAGGACATTTATAGTTGTACAGACTATTGCCCTGCTCTTGGGCTTTGCATGAATACGAACACTGAAAAGCAAAGGTCCAGGATTTTGGCTCCTTTAATGGGCAACTGGTTTTAAGCCACGTGCTGGTGCTGGACCACTGAAGACAGCATGTGTCAGACTCCATGTGCGATGTTATCACTGTGCAGTCGATGTATACTTGAAGTGTGTCACATTCCTGTATCCCAGGCTTAGGCAGATTCAGAGCCTGAGATGCCAAACTCCTGTCTTCACTAAAAGAGGAGGAAATATTGTCAGACTTAGACATTTTCTTATTGTGTGAGCGTGTATATAAATAAATATCTACGTGTGTGTGTGTGTAAGTATACTAATCAGTGTGAGTCATGGTAGCATAACTAAGATAGGACACTGACCAAATGTAAACTGTATTTCTTGTTGCACGCTTTGCACACGAATTCCGTTTCTAAAATTGAGTTCTTCCAACTGGTTACTGATGAAAGTACCTTACTAAGAACATCCTGACCCACTCTTGAGAGGTGTATCCACATGCTAGAGAAAGCAGCCTTTTAGGTGTACTTGAGAATAAGGGGAAACCAGAGATGGCATGAGCCTGCCCTGACCAATACAGTGGCTGTCGATGGTGTTCCTGAAAACTGACAAAGCCAGAAGTAAATTATAATTTGTGTTAAGGCCATCAGTATTCAAATCTGATGATTGCTTTAAATAAGTTGAGTCTAACTGTGAAACCAGGCTACAGATGACAAAGTTTGGCACTAACTGCTTGGAGGAAGAAGTTACTGAAGGAAAATGGTGACTGTTCCATGGTGGGTTTGTTTCTTCAGTCTGGGACTTTCACAAGGAGCGTGTTACTGGGTAGTCTTTGAGGTGGGGATATTCTGTAGTGCTGTTCAGAATCAGAAGGTCTGGGGTTCTCTCCTCCACTGCCTTGCTTTTTTGGACCATTTCCTCACCCTTCTTCTGGCTGATTTCTGCCAGAATAGCTGCAAAAGCAGCTCAGCCTGTTAGCTGCCTGACTCTTGCTGCGAGAGGGGTGATACCCTCCATGGCACCTAGTGAGTGGAGCCAAATCCATGCTGCCCTGACACCCATCCTTGGGGTGATGTCAGGAGCAAGGGGGGCAGCAGCCTGGGGTCTCTGTCTGCCATGGTACCCCCATGATGTTTCTGATACCTCAGTGCAGACAGTAGGGCAGACAGCCCAGCCCAGTTCAGCCAGTGGCTCTGTGGCGGCAGACACGGCTCCAAGTTCAGGCTGGGTGAGGGTGGCACTTGTTAAAAGATCTCATCAGGCAAGGTGCTGAGCAGCAGCTGGAAGTCACAGGGGTACTTTTCTCCACTTCCCTCCCCTGCTGCTTACCCAGGTGGTAGGACAGGGCACCACGCTCCAGAGGGGGCTGTGGCAGTCAGCCAAAACAGGCAGATTGCAGAGCATTCCTGGAGGATGCACGATTCCTCCTTAAAGATCTATCTCAGATCTAGGCCTAGTCCATCCTAAAGCAGTCCTCTTGGAGGAGGGGAGGAAAGCCCATTTGAAATGTAGAGGTATTTTAAGAGCCATTTTTGAAACTGTCTACTTGGGAATTAAATGCAAACTTCGTGGACCTTCGTTGTGCATTCAAGTTCAAAATTTTACATGATAAATCATGGGACAATGGGGCTGTCTTGGCACTTAACTTGGTGCTTACTGATATAATAAGAAATAGCATCCTGTGAAATGTCTATCATCAGTATCTTCATTTGCATAATGAGTTTTTCTAAAGCTCTGGGAACTGTGTCAGTTCACTTAGAACCATTTATTAAAGAGGTGGCAACAATTTTCCTACACATTGCTTGTTAAGTAGAACTACACTTTCATTAGAAAAAATTGCCACCATTCCGAGGTAAGTTGTACTTAAACTTCAGCTTTAGGTACTCCTGATTTTTAGTTGCCAACCTTCTTCACTTAGTGATCACACAGCCAAATGATTCTGTGTTCCAAAGCCACCCACACACCATCATCATTAACCAACCAACAATAGTTGTAGTTAAGTCTTTGTACCAAATCCAAGTGTCGTGTATAGAAGACCTTCTGTGTCACATGTGTGCAGAGTTAGATTCTCAACAGTCTGATTGTATATTTGTATAATATAATCTCAATGCTGTGCAATTACCATCCACATCTTGCACTGGCCTTTCAATGAAAATTTTAGTGTGTCTGTTGTGAGATAGGCAGTGCATTTTACCTGCTGTTATTGGGCTGAATGTATGTAAATAAGTGAAAAAAAAAATTAAAAAATAAGTCATCTGTACAAGCAGTGGCCTAAAAAGTCTGTAATTGTAGACTAGGACAATTGTTGACGTTGCTGTGACATCTCAAATACTACCTTTGAATAAACTGTTTACAGGGTCTCTTGGGATGCTGTTTCATAGTGAAAGGAAAATCTTTCCTTGTGATAACATGAGGTAAAGAAATTGGATTACCTGAGCTTTTTATTTCCAGTGTTTCAAAGTGGAGAACATAACTCTTTATTGTCTGTAAAATCTAACATTATTACTTCCTCTTAGAAGAATATTGTATCATTAGATGTTTGTTTGAGCTGGTAACATCCATGCAACTGCTGCAATATTTTTCATTAGCAACCTGTATAATAGTTTGTACACAAATACTGTTCAGATTGTCATGAAAAGTAGCTTTGACCATTGACCTACCAGTAGCAGAATAGTATTTCTGTAAGATTTCCAGTGTATTCCTACCATATCATACTTTATTTCTATAATGTAATTAAACTGTTATTTATTCAAGGAGAAAAAGTATTCCTCTACTTTTTTGTTTTCCAAATTTTGAGATAACAGAGGAAGCCACGTGATGATGCTGCCTCATCCCACAATCTGGTGCTCTACGTTTTGTTTATAAGTTTGTCTGTCAGATTCTGAAACAACTGCTTAAACAACTTGACATCAGGTTGTCAGGCGTTGTGGGTTTTAATTGTACGTTGATATGTTTGAAGGATGAGGTAGATTATATATTTTATATTTGTGTATTCAGTACTACGGAGACAAGAGAGAAATGACATAGTTAAAACTGAATCTCCTGTTGCATTATGTAGGCAATTTCCCCTTTCCTCTGTATTAGCCAAAATGCAATAAATCTCTTTTGCCTTCCTCAAATGCATATGTTTGCACAGAGATGTCACATGAAGACAAATCCATATAATTCAGAAAAATGAAAGAGCAGAAGAACACATACTTAAATAGTGGTGCCAACAGCAACAATGGCCTAAATTAATTATTGCTGGTGGTAAATGTAATCGAAGACTTGAGGCAAACAAAAGTGAGTCCCTTTGGCCAGTTCCAGTGGGGAGAGAGTTGGAGGGGGATGGATGGATGGATGGATGGATGGATGGATGGATGGATGGATGGATGGATGATTGGATGGATGGTGGGGGATGATCCAACAGGGATACACAAAAGCTGTGTGGGGAGAGCAAGCTCAGCCATGCCACTGGAGCACACCAAAGCACTCCCACTGCTTCTCATCCACGACTGAAAGGAGGAGCTGAAAACACTTCTGATCTCTTTGTGGGACCACATGCCTGATCCAAAGCCCACTAAATGCTTTAGAAGGGTCCCTGCCCTTTTCAAAGGATCATATGACTTAATGTCAGATGCACATTTCGCCACATTAATGGTTTGGAAACAGTGGATGTCCTTAGGGAATGAAGTGAGCATGTCCTGGGGCCTTGGATCATGGCTGTGCCACAATATTTGTATTTTTAATAATTAGGTCACTGATGAATTAAGAAAGTATTGGCAAAACAAAAGTGACTAGCAATGAAAGGCTGGATCTGAATCTTGAGCTGTGTACAACATTTAAATGAAGAACACTAAGTATTTCTGCTGAAAGCTGTCACTCCCAGAGCAGGCAGGAGACCATTCCCACTGCACTGCCACGAGCACTAGAAAACAAGAGCAAGACTGCTGGGAACCAGCAGTTCCTCTCGACAGTAACACCCAACTGCAGTTGTAAGCCCCTTCTAAACAACATGAGAAGAAGGACAGTTTTCCAAGCAGCTGCTTTCCCACACTAAACCAGCTCAGGAAGTCTGCAGGCAAATACACTGATATCATTTCAGCCTTTAACCTCCGT